ACAGGTGAACACCAGACTGTCCCAGGCAAACTGGTCTCCCTGATTCTAAGTGTCTTCTCTGTGTACAAAAAACCAACAAATAGCTAACTATAAACTGCTCAGTAAGTGCCAAGTTGTGCACGTGAGCTTTAAATGAGGCATCTTGTGTAATATTCCCAACAACCCTAGGAGGTGGAGAGTCATTACTCTTTTTTTTTCCTGGTGAGGAAACTGAGGCACAGAGCTGTTAAGGAACTTACCTAAAGACACACCATGGCAGAGCCAGTCAGGTTCAAGCCTTCGTGCTAGCCCCGTCCCAATCTCTCTAGTGGGTGCAAAGCAGCGGTAAGAAGGTTGAACCCCCTTTTCAAAGGGATAGCTGAGCACCAGCATGGCCCAGCTCTTGGCTCAGGCCACAGCTCAGGATTGTGTTGGGAGCTCATGCGAGTGCCTACTGGTCTCACTGCCATGGGGCTGCCATTTCACAGCACCATGAGTATAACAAGGAGCTGTGGACACGGGGATTAAGTACCAGGTTGCTGCCAAGTGCATTTCATCGGGTTGCTGCAGCCAGTATCAGAGCAGCTTATTTATGAGTCTCATGTGCCAGTCACAGCTGGTGAAAGTGGATCCGCCTAAAAAGCACTAAAAGTCAGCCGCCCAAACCTGACACCTACTTGGCTGGTGGATCACCCCAGGCCCACAGACTAAAAGGACAGCTGAGGACACGGTCCTGGGGAACCCTCTGATAGGAGAAATAGAACCTAAATAAGTGGTGGCCCCATATGCAAGCTTAAAGAACAGTCTGCCATTGTGAAAAGTATTGATGCTGGCATTAAATGAAGTTTGAATACTCTAAGAATGACGTTCCAGCATAGACACACCTGGAGTATTCCTGTGGCAGTGGAGAGAATATGCTTTCTTAAAAACAGGGAAACATAATGTTAAAAATATTCTTTTTGGGATGCCTGGGTGGCTCAGTTGGTTAAATGGCCAACTCTTGATTTCAGCTCAGGTCATGATCTCATGGGTTCATGAGTTCAAGCCCCACATCAGGCTCTGCACTGATAACACAGAGCTTGCTTCAGATCCTCTGTCTCCCTCTCTCTATGCCCTTCTCCCATTTGCACACATGCTCACTCTCTCGCTCTCTCTCTGTCTCTCTCAAAAATAAACAAATGTTAAAAATTTTAAAAAACATTCTTTTCAAACAAGGATGGCAGGTTGTTGGTAATTGTTGGAGCATAGTGATAGATACATGGATCGTTATACTATACTCTTTAAAAAGTTCCAGATGTTCAAAATGTTTTCAATGTTCAAACATTAGTTTTAGAAGAAAAAAAAATGCTCCAGCATAAAGATGAATACCAAATGCTTTGAGTTTTGAGTGTCCCAGCCAGGAAGGTAAGAACAGCTGAGAGTCTGTAGCAATATGGGGACCCTGTGGCAGCCAGCCCGAGAATGGGAGGAGACCCCAGGCTCTGCAAGGTGCCTTCCTTTCCATTTGCTTCAGCGATAGCATACTTTAAGGGGATGTCTAGTAGTAAAATCTTGAGGGGAAAAATGCTCACCTCGTTGTCAATAACAGAGTGATTTCTGGCTCTGACCAGTGTCATTGACCACTCTTGACCCAAATGGAAATGCCCAGATGGGAGGTAGGACTCCAGTACAATTCTGTTCTTCACTCTACCTTGGTTTCTCCATCTATAAAATAGGAAGACAGGTTTTTCTCTTGAATGAAATTTGAAAATATCAGACAGTTGTTAGAGAAGGTTATGGATATGAGAGATCATTTCCTATGGAAATCCTATGTGTTCTGAGCTACAAAGCAGATGTTAGATCAGAATGGTCCAGCTGAAGATTAATCTAGGAAACTTGTCAAGAATCCAAAGCCTTCCCATTCAATATTTCATTGTATTTTTATTTTATTTTATTATATATTTTTTTTTTCAGTTTGTTTATTTTGAAAAAGAGAGGGAGGGAGGGAGAAAGGGACAGAGAATGAGAATCCCTAGCAGGCTTTGCACTATCAGTGCAGAGCCTGATGCAGGACTCGAACTCACAAACCATGAAATCATGACCTGAGCCCAAACCAAGAGTTGGACACTTAACCAGCTGAGCCACCCAGGTGCCCCGTTTTTTATTTTATTTTATTAAGTAATCTGTATATCCAATGTGGACTCGAACTCATGACCCCAAGATCAAGAGTCCCATGCTCTACTTACTGAGCCAGTCAGGTGCCCTTCATTATATTCTTTAAAAAATTAAATGCTCCCAGCAACTATATTAGAGTTGCTTCTAAGGTGGGCCAAAACTTCAACTCTGGATAGCTTCAGCAAATGGAATTTATTTGGGGGATCCTGGGACAGCTCACAGAACTAAAAGAATTACCTAACAATCATGACTTAATGAAGTTTGTGCACAATCTCTTGTGCAGCCCCTGCCTCTTTTTTCTGGTTCCTCAATCCCAGATGTCAGATTCCTAGGGACAGAGAATCTGGCCTAGTCAGGTCTGGTGCCAAAGAGGGATGGGATATATAGTACTAACCTGGTCACTGGGGGCCACTGCTGTGTGTCATTGTACACTTCCCTGACCAAATAGAATTCTTGTTGCTCTGGGGGCAACCACCCCTATAACCATAATATCAGTTTATGCTATGCTGTTATCTTCTCTGTAATTGCAAAGAAACATTTGAAGGTCAAGGGATTCTTGTAACACAGGCTCTAGGGACTATTTGATTTTGAATGTTTATTTATTTAGAGAGTGTGAGTGGGGGAAGGGCAGAGAGAGACAGAGATAGGATCCAAAGTGGGCTCTGCACTGACATCAGCAAGCCTGATGTGGGGTTCACACTCATGAACTGTGAGATCATGACCTGAGCTGAAGTTGGGCACTCAACTGACTGAGCCACCCAGGTGCCCCTGTTTGATTTTGCAAAGGCCACCTGACTCTGACTGATGCCTGCATCTGGCAAGAACCAGTCCACTCTTTCAGGCTTGAGTCAAGAGGCTTGATTTTTTTTTTTTTTAAGAGAGAGAGAGAGTGCAAGTAGGGGAGAGGGGAAGAGGGAGAGGAAGAATCTTAAGCAGTCTCCATGCTCAGCATGGATCCCAACACAGGGCTCAATCCCGTGACCCTGGGATTATGACCTGAGCCAAAATCAAGAGTTAGACCCTCAACTAACTGAGTCACCCAGGCACCCCTTGTTCATGATTATTAAGCCCAGGAGAGGAAGGAAAGAAGAGATGTAGGCATCCTTGGCCTGAGCACATGAATGCCTATCAGAGGGGGTCCTGTCCATTGGAAGTCCAAGGGGCATTTTTGTCCCATGGGTTGTAAATCTTGAGTTGTACTTGGGATACTCAGATCCTTTCTGAAAGCATCTCTATCACCCCAATCTCAAGAAAAAGGAAAAAATGGATGAGGAAAGGCTGCCCTGTGAAAAGAGGTGCCCCAGGTTCTCAAACATGAACCACTGCCAGGGAACTTTCCTTTCACTGCCCAGCACCAACCGGGGGGGCTTCTTCTCTTCCATCCTTTAATCAAGAATGGAAGGCAGAATTTCTCTTGAGCAGACAAGAGATTGGGAAAGAGAGAAGGGATAATTGCTCAGTTTGCTGGTAAATATCAAGCCAGGGTCAAGGCCAAAGAGAGAAGGTTGAGTAGCTGGAGAAAAGGCTAGATCTGCAGAGATGAGGTGGGCAAGGGCTGGCCGGGAGCTTGGAAGATGAGGTCTGTACAGCCTCCCGGAGGACAGGGCTGATCTGTTAAGTCTCTAGTGTATGTTTAATGCATACATGTTGCCTGGGGGCAAGGCAGGGTGGAGAAGGAAGCAGGTGACTTTACTGGGCCACAGCACATGGCAGCAGGTGGCTCCTGATAGGGTGAGTCGGATGTGTGACGCTTCTGCAGAGCCTTTGTGTGATGGTGTACATGGTCCAGTGCACAGCGGAGCCCTGACCAGGGAAGGATGGGAGCTTAATTCCAGCCCATGCTCCACTTACCATGAGCTTGTGAAGCTGCAGAGATGATGTGGGCTTGTTAGCATCTCCTTAGCCTTCAGCTTACAGCTGGTCCCTGATGAGCCTACATACAGAGGTCCCTTTGCTTGGGCCAGTTGGCATAAGATTCCAGAACTGCTGAGGTCCTCGGACCTGAATGGCATGCCTCTCCTGGTAGTAAGATGGAATTTTTAAAAATGTGTCTTGAGTTTCTCTGTTTAAGACTAAAGAAGTTGGGGCGCCTGGGTGGCGCAGTCGGTTGAGCGTCCGACTTCAGCCAGGTCACGATCTCACGGTCCGTGAGTTCGAGCCCCGCGTCAGGCTCTGGGCTGATGTCTCGGAGCCTGGAGCCTGTTTCCAATTCTGTGTCTCCCTCTCTCTCTGCCCCTCCCCCGTTCATGCTCTGTCTCTCTCTGTCCCAAAAATAAATAAACGTTGAAAAAAAAATTAAAAAAAAAAAAAGACTAAAGAAGTCAAATAAAGTGATACCTATAAATGCCATTTATATTCCAAGGTGTCCTTGATAAGGGATAAATATTTTTCCCCAGCCAGTGAGCTATCCTTGGCTGGAAAGGAACATTCTCTTACTGCTGACATGGTGGGGTCTCACGTGGGAGTACGTTCCATGCCAGGCATGTGGCAAGCCGGTACTGCCTGGGACCTGGCGCTGAGGAGACTGAGGGCTGAGGGCAGCACTGCTTCCTGAAGAACGATGGTGGGACACGGCTGCCCCACGTAGGTACCCCACACACAGGAGAAAGAACTAGGCTTTTACTCGTTCAGCAGAGAGGACAGCAACTCTAAGCTCTTTACCTGCCTCATAAATTCAGGATAAAGGAGCAGAGGGTTGCCATGAAAATCTTTGTCTTGATACCCTTGAGCCACTTAAATTGAAATGAGCAATTTAAGCTCAATTTAAGCCTGTGTGGAGTGTCCACACAATTTACTCACGTTGCCCTGATGCCATGGTTGGAGTAGAGACACCCACCTACATTAGTCCTTCCTCTCTGGTTGAGCAGATGCAGGAGCTGGAGCAGAGGCTGCTGGAGGCAGAGCAGAGAGCAGAGAATGCGGAGACCCAGGTAACCGGGGCAGGGGATTGGTGGGACTGTGCAGCAGAAATGGCCGTTGGCCTTTCCTGATCCTTTTCATGGACACACACAGACATACTCGTCACCCTGACAAGCTCCTTATGGGGACAAGGAAAACCAGCAGTCATGTGATAGTTCTCCTGAACAAATTAAGGTTCATGGAGCTCTCTTTGGGCATGAAGGAGTCTTTGGGTAAGGGTTAGTGCATGAGTGGGTGGCTGGATTAGTCCTCACAGGCCACGTTATGCTGAGGTAACAGGTCTGACATCTTAGCACCTTCTCACATTTATTTCTTAGTCATGGTATCTCCCCATTGTGGGTTAGCTGGGGATTCTGCCTCCCATAGGGACTTGGGGGTTGAGGCTGCTGGAGCTCTCTCCAGCTTCCACCTGGACCCTCTGAAACATGCAGCCTCCTTGGTTGCCATGGCAGGAAGAGAGCTCTTAAATACTTCAGCCTAAAAATGCTGAGTCACTCCATTCAGACCCACTGGCGGGAGTGAATTCCATGGCCATCTGACTATAAGAGGGCTGGGAAATATTGAAAGCACAGGGCCATTCAGTGAACAGCAAATATCTCTGCCACAGTGAGATTTAAGCAGTTTCTCTCTGGGCTGTTTGTCCTGCCCAGCTTGTCCCTGTTGGGGTCCCCAGAGTTAGATGGCCTGATACCCAGCCATTTCTTTGTTGTCAATTCCTTAGTTTGCCCAGATGAGGCTATTTTAATAAATGGTTATTGACTTAATTGGCCCCAACTGCTCTGGGTGAGGGCTCTGCCTGTGAACCATGGGCTGGGGTGTCAGGAAGTATCCCAGGGCATGTGAGCAGCTGTTTCACACACACATCCCAACCCTGTGTGATGATGGTACTTTTAAGGTGGGTGTGATGGAGGAGAAGGTGAAATTGTCCAATCTGAAGAATGTGGACTCAGCCGGCAGCCTGCACCGGAAGTACCAGGAATTGCTGAAAGCCATGCAGAGCAAAGATGAGCTTATCAGCCAGCTGGAGGCACAGCTGGAGAAGCAGGTAAGCGCTGACTGCAGAGCGGCACCAATGCCCTCTGCAGCATCCATTGCCATTGGCCACACCTTCATGAACAGACCCCCTCTGCTTGAGCCCTCCGTTGGTGGGGAGCTCACTCCCTCCTGAGACTGTTCTTTTGCATGGAGATTTAACTATTAGAAGGTACATTGGGAGCCAGGCAGGGGATGGATATAGTGGGGAAAGAACCTTGGAGGCAAATTGATCTGGGTTTGGATCCCCTCGCTAGCACCTGCTGCTCTCTGTGGGCAAATAAGTCATTGATTCACATTTTACACATCTGTAAGGTGGGGGTTATAATACGCCATAGGGCTGTCCAGAGAGTGAACTCAGGTATCAGACATGAAGTTGGTGTTTGGTAAGGAGAGCCTGTCTTTCTCCACCCTGGCCTTGACATGACACCTGTGGTTATCAGAGCAGCTCACAGCTGGGCAGTCAGCATTGGTCACCTGGTTGGCCAAAGTTTCTCACTGAACTTGAGCAGGCAGAGGCCAAAGTTGCTGCCTCCTCTGAAGCAGGCAAGGCCTCTTGTCCTGAGCACATGGGTGCCCAGGAGAGGCCACTGCCCAGCATTTCAGCTACAGTTAGCCCCTTTGCTCCAGAAAGGGTATCTGAGAAACATCAGTCCGCCAATTCCCTGTATCTAGCCTCCTCCCCTTTACAGTTCAGTTAACTTCATCCGATGCTGTGCCTTCCTTCTGTCCTTGGCCTTACCTACTGGTTATCCCCTGGTGCCAGAGTGCCATTATTTCCAACAAACACCCTTACAGTGTGACCAGATGACTTTTAATTTTCCACATGAGGGGCGCCTGGGTGGCGCAGTCGGTTAAGCGTCCGACTTCAGCCAGGTCACGATCTCGCGGTCCGTGAGTTCGAGCCCCGCGTCGGGCTCTGGGCTGATGGCTCAGAGCCTGGAGCCTGTTTCCGATTCTGTGTCTCCCTCTCTCTCTGCCCCTCCCCCATTCATGCTCTGTCTCTCTCTGTCCCAAAAATAAATAAACGTTGAAAAAAAAAAAAAATTTTCTACATGAGTATTCTTCCATGAAGGTCCCAGCTAGTCCCAGAAGTATTTTCCCACCATCACAGGCAAATTTGTAATCATTCATCAGCATTCACTGAACATACCCATTGTGCGATGTGCCTTTGTATGTTCTGGGGCACCCTAGCATGTGTTCCTGAAAAATCATGGAAAAATAGAATGTGGACACATGCAATCTTTAGCCAGTCATTCATTGACTTTAAAGATACCTTACCTCCTTTTTTGAGTGGTTCACAGAAGTGGCAGCATCTGGGGATTAGTCGGCAAAATGATTCCTGCTGAAGCTTAGATCAGAAAAAAATCATTTTACAATAATAAAAGGTCAGAATAGAAAGAATGCTGTTCTACAAGTCCGTAGACCTGGGTTTAGTTCTGGCTGTGCTGCCCAAACTGACAGAGGCAAGTCACTTCACCCTCTGGGCCTCAGTTGCTGCAGCCCTATACAGAGGGTATCAAACTAGGTCAGGGGTTGGCAGACTAGTCCTTTAAAGGGCCAGATAGTAAGTACTCTCTGGTCTCTGTTGCAACTCTTCAGCTCTACTGTTGTATCACGAAAGTAGACAATTCAAAGTAGACAATTCGTAAATGAATAGGCACAGCTGTGTTCCAGTACAGTATTTATAAAAATAGGCAGGGCAGGGGGCGTGGACCAGGTGGAGGCCTGGACTGTGGCCAGTTTGCAAACCTCTTAAACTGGATAACCTTAAGGTCCTTCCAATGTTCATTGTGAATGTTTCTTGTGTATCAAAGGACAGCATTCCATTTTCATTTTCATTTTTTATGCAAGCCCTAACACTTAGGTTATTAGCCAGTTCAGAGTTTTTTTGTTTTTGTTGCTTAAATAATATTGCAACTAATGATTCCTAAGCTGTGGGTTTGTTAAGTCAGCAGTGTATACATTTAAAACTTAACAGGGGTGCCTGGGTGGTTCAGTCAGTTAAACGTCTGATTTCAGCTTAGGTCATGATGTCGTAGTTCGTGAGTTCGAGCCCTCCATCGAGCTCTGTGCTGACAGCTTGGAGCCTGGAGCCTGCTTTGGATTCTGTGTCCCCCTTTCTCTCTGCTCCTCCTCTACTCATGCTCTGTCTCTCTCTCTCTCTCTCAAAAATAAATAAACATTAAAAAAAATTTTAACTTGACAGATACTATCAAATTGCTGCCCCAGAAGACCTTGCCAATTTGTATAAGAGGGATTGTTTTCCAACATCCTTGACAATATAGGATATTTCAGACTTTTAAATTGTGTTAGTCTGATAGAGGAAAATGTCTTTTATGTGCATTTTTAAAATTATGATTGAGGTTGAACAGCCTTTCATGGTTTTCTTTCCCTTTATTTCTCTTTCTGTTGACTTCCTGTTAATATTCTTTTTGCGTGTATTTATTTGTTTGTTCATTTCAAGTTAGCCCTCTGTATGTAAGTCATTTGTGTTGTAAATCATCCCTCAATTGGTCTTTTGATTTTGTTTAAGGAAACTTTTTTTTTTGTCATGTAGTAATTTACAGTGATAGTATAGACTTTATTAGTCTTTTTCTTCATGTTTTTTGGGGTATGTATCATGCCTAGGAAGCCTTTTCACACTTTAAGAATATTTTTAGGGGGGCCTGGGTGGCTCAGTCAGTTAAGCATCCAACTTTGGCTCAGGTCATGATCTCGCAGTTC